AGCTGGAGCAGAAAGAGGGATGATCAGAGGAAGAGTCTAAGAGTCTGCTGCCATTGCCGCCATCTCAGAAAGTTGGGAAATGCAGCGATTGCTGATAGTCCGCCATCTTGAATTGCTCTGATTTTTGTCATCTCAGTAAAAGGATTTGTTTTTCAAGTACATGGATGTTTTGTTTTTTTGCCCCCAATTAGTGCGATGCCGTATACACACGCATACACACCCCGCCCGATCCTGCAAAACCCCGCACTATCACACACCCCGCCCGATCCTGCACTATCACACACCCTGCCCGATCACACACCCCGCCCGATCACACACCCCGCCCGATCCTGCACAATCACACACCCCACCCGATCCTGCACGATCTACAGGGCAACCATTCATCGGCTGTCCACACAATCAGACAAGTACATTATCTGCACAATGTCCTTTAGATTTACACACAACGGTGTATTGTGAGGTGCTGCCTAAATAAACCAATACACGATGGTCTTTGCGTTACAGAGTGAACCCAAAAAGTGCACTAGGGTGAATCAACTGGTCAATTTCATGATAAGACAGGGCCCTGCCTGCCCCAGTGGGTCACCATAAGTTGAAGAGGGTGTGTGAGAGTGTGAATGGCTAGGATCAATATGAAATTTGGTCTTGGGCTCCTCCCAAGACCAGTCACTCCATAGGATGGAGGGTGTGGGTCTTTGGGCCTATCCTAACGTCCATGGGGGGGATGTGTGGTCATCTGGTTCCGCCTGTTTTATGCCGCACAAAATAGGTAAAAATCCTTCTCTTGGCATCCATTTAAAGGAGAACTATGGGGTTAAGGCTTTTCCCCATAGTTCTCCTTAGGGAAAATGGGAGGACACAAACTAGCGTCCTCCCGTCACCCTAAGCTCAGTATACCGCGAGCTACAGCTCACTATATACTGAGACGCCGCAGCCGGAGCGGATCCGACATCGATGTCGAGATCTGCGTGAGTGACAGCTGGCTCTGCCTATCTAGAGGCAGAGCCAGCTGTACCCGCCCCCTCCCCCGTCCGTTCCGCCTGTCAGCGCTGGAGGATGGGAGGGGGGAATCCAGCCCCTCCCCTGTCACGGCAGAGAGCTGTGACATGCCGGTGTTCGCTCACTTCTCGATCCTGTGTTTGCTCACCTCCCGATCTACTGAGCCGACCTGTGACAGTCTCATTGTCACAGGTCAGCTAGAACTATGAGGTGAGTGAAAAGCACTCACCTCATAGTTCTCCTTTAAGGACACAGGAATGCCTAGACTGTCTGTGGCAGTATAACCAAACAGTCTAAGAATTCCTGTGTCCCTCCACAGACAATAAAGAAAATAGGATTTGTGTACTCACTGTAAAATCCTTTTCTTGGAGTCCATTGAAGACTGTCAGGTTATACTGCTGCCAACAGTCTAGGAATTCCTGTGTCCCTCAACGGACAAGAAATAAATATTCTTACATGCCCAGAAGATCCAGCATTGTCCTCTTCTCTAGCACCGCTCTCCTACAACTGGTCCCACCCCCTGCCGCCATCTTTCTTTTGTATATTATGACGAGCCGGCTGCCCACCTCATGATGCGGCAACACATCTGGCCCAAGTGCAGACAGAAATCTGGTGCCGTGTCTTTGCTTGCAGTTGCTACCCTGCGAGATATCCTGTTGGTATCTGAGGAGGTCGCAGAAGGAGACATCATTCTCACCTAGGCGATAAAGCGGGTTGGGCAGGGGGGCGGAGTGTCAAATGGGGGAAAACAAAGAAGGTAAATAAACAAAACATACATAAAAAGGTCACCATTTATTTTTATAATGTGTGGGGGTGGGGAGGATAAGAATGGTGCAAAGTGTATTTTTTGCCGGAAGTTCCACTTTAAACACAACAAAAAGATACAGGAAACAACACCAGGAGAACATTTACAGGTGTTCGCCGGGTTTGGGGTTCCGGAGGACCGGCAAGAGGTTCGAAGTCCCAGTGCGTCATGGCATCCAGCATTTTGCAGGGCACACCATGACCTGTAATTTCTCAGCATCTGCTGGAGCAAACCTTCCACACAAGACCTTCCCTACAAACTGTTCTCCTCACAAATGTATGCAGGAGAGACATTGGGAAGTGGGAACAAACTTAGTGTTTTTGCCCAATCAGATCCCTTCTGTCATTTTCTCTTTTCTGCAGGTTTGAAAAAAAGAAGGCTCCAAAAATTTAGAAATAATAATAAAAAAAGGTTCTAGTGGTGAAACCCTAAAGCATCCATCAGTCTTTGTCAGGACACCCACTTCCATTTGAGGGCCGCAGTCTACTCGCATCTGTGGCGAGAGGTGGCAACCGAACGCAGCTCGTCCCCGCTCCCAGTATTTGCAAAGGAAGAAAGTCGCCACACCCCGATGACATCAGCGACTGTAAAACTTTATTCTTCTGGTCATCATACACAGAAGGTCTGCCCAGATCCTACTGAGTCTGAGTGAGGAGGATCTGGGTGGACCTTCTGTATGAGTCTGAGTGAGGAGGATCTGGGTGGACCTTCTGTATGAGTCTGAGTGAGGAGGATCTGGGTGGACCTTCTGTATGAGTCTGAGTGAGGAGGATCTGGGTGGAGCTTCTGTATGAGTCTGAGTGAGGAGGATCTGGGTGGAGCTTCTGTATGAGTCTGAGTGGGGAGGATCTGGGTGGAGCTTCTGCATGAGTCTGAGTGAGGAGGATATGGGTGGACCTTCTGCATGAGTCTGAGTGAGGAGGATCTGGGTGGACCTTCTGTATGAGTCTGAGTGAGGAGGATCTGGGTGAACATTCTGTATGAGTCTGAGTGAGGAGGATCTGGGTGGACCTTCTGTATGAGTCTGAGTGAGGAGGATCTTGGCGGACCTTCTGTATGAGTCTGAGTGAGGAGGATCTGGGCGGACCTTCTGGAGATGACGTCCAGAACAATACAGTTGCTGATGTCATTGGAGTGTGTCCGGCTTTCTTGCTCTTCCATTCACCTGGTACTCAAAGAGCTGAAAGGTTCAGGACAAAAACTCCACTTGGTGTTCCCAGACAGCGGGCACTTCTGCTTCCTCTGTACAGAAAGATGAGTGTTGAGGGGCATCTTAATGTTTAAATGCTCCTCAGAAAGTTCTTAGGTAAGGCACCAGTTTGTTCAAGGAACTAGAAGTAAAAGCTTGGGGCCAGAGTCTGAGTGAGGAGGATATGGGTGGACCTTCTGCATGAGTCTGAGTGAGGAGGATCTGGGTGGACCTTCTGTATGAGTCTGAGTGAGGAGGATGTGGGTGGACCTTCTGCATGAGTCTGAGTGAGGAGGATCTGGGTGGACCTTCTGTATGAGTCTGAGTGAGGAGGATCTGGGTGGACCTTCTGCATGAGTCTGAGTGAGGAGGATATGGGTGGACCTTCTGTATGAGTCTGAGTGAGGAGGATCTGGGTGGACCTTCTGTATGAGTCTGAGTGAGGAGGATCTGGGTGAACATTCTGTATGAGTCTGAGTGAGGAGGATCTGGGTGGACCTTCTGTATGAGTCTGAGTGAGGAGGATCTTGGCGGACCTTCTGTATGAGTCTGAGTGAGGAGGATCTGGGCGGACCTTCTGGAGATGACGTCCAGAACAATACAGTTGCTGATGTCATTGGAGTGTGTCCGGCTTTCTTGCTCTTCCATTCACCTGGTACTCAAAGAGCTGAAAGGTTCAGGACAAAAACTCCACTTGGTGTTCCCAGACAGCGGGCACTTCTGCTTCCTCTGTACAGAAAGATGAGTGTTGAGGGGCATCTTAATGTTTAAATGCTCCTCAGAAAGTTCTTAGGTAAGGCACCAGTTTGTTCAAGGAACTAGAAGTAAAAGCTTGGGGCCGCCGTTGCAGCTGTTGGCGTCTAAACGTGCTGGGGGTTCCTCATCTTGGACGGGTGGAAAATGCTGTGAAATTGCTTGGTCCAGTCCACGGGGGTCACTTTTATCATTCCGAAGCACTGACACTGGAAGAAGTCTGCGAGGTTCTGGATACAGCCATGGCTGAAAGAAACAAAATAATATATAATTTTATGGGTCATAAACAAAACTTGGGTGAGGGCAGCTCAGCGAATTGTCAGAGAAGAAGAAAGGACAGAGCACCTTGTGAGGTTCTTATAAAACAGAAATAGGAAAAGGCACAAAAATGCAACAACTGATATCACATCCTATGCAAATAAAGCCCGACACTGTCCGGCCACATTCACAGGATAGTCAATTAGGAGCCTGCGCTGCCATTCACCAGGCAACCAGCCTTTGCCTCATATCAGTGCCACCCTGTGCTATAAGAAGCCAAGTCAGCGCCACACGGAGCTATAGGAAGCCATGTCAGCGCCACCCTGTGCTATAAGAAGCCAAGTCAGCGCCACTCGGAGCTATAGGAAGCCATGTCAGCGCCATCCTGAGCTACAAGAAGCCATGTCAGTGTCACCCTGAGCTACAGGAAGCCACGTCATCGCCACTCGGAGCTATAGGAAGCCATGTGAGCACCACCCTGAGCTACAGGAAGCCACGTCATCGCCACTCGGAGCAACAGGAAGCCATGTCAGCGCCATCCTGAGCTACAGGAAGCCATGTCAGCCCCAACCGGAGCTACAGGAAGCCATATCAGCCCCACTCGGAGCTACAGGAAGCCATGTCATCGCCACTTAAAGCTATAGGAAGCCATGTCAGCACGATCCTGAGCTACAGGAAGCCATGTCAGCACCACCCTGAGGTACAGTAAGCCACGTCACCGCCACTCGGAGCAATAGGAAGCCACGTCATTGCCACTCAGAGCTACAGGAAGCCATGTCAGCACCACCCTGAGCTACAGGAAGCCACGTCAGCGCCATCCTGAGCTACAGGAAGCCATGACAGTGTCACTCTGAGCTAAAGAAAGCAAACATCTGGGGTTGTCAGTCATAAGCCAACTAGCTCTGCCCTGCGCCAGTTGTGATCCAGCGTGCAGGAAGTGAACATCAGGGGTGCCAGGCAAACCCTGAACACGCATTAACCCTGCATTACCCAGCATTACTGGCCAAGGCCTGTGGGACCTAAACGGCAGAATCAACATCTATTTCACTGAAAGCTTCAGATTTCAATATACTGAAATGGATTTTGAAATTACATGAACATGTTCGCTCGTCTGACCCATCAGGTTATTTGTATTCTCTGAAGAATCTCAGCGACAGCAGTCCCCCACATTTACCTTTAATGTACGTGATGGACAAGCCACATCGGGGGCTGTGCTTATTCCAATATGTCTGAGACATTGCTTGTGAGCTTACTTACTTAAAAGGAGATCTCCGCATTGACACTTTGTGTTTGCTGAATCTATTCTGCATCTGGAAGCTGAATCTTTCTTGAGTTGTCAGACCAAGAAACGCAATCTGAAGAAAGGAACAACAAAAAAAAAAAAACAACAGCATTCAGCTCAAGCTATGCTACCAGTACGGCACCATCTCAATATACAAGAAAGAAAAACAGAACCAATAAGTGTCCATGTGTAAATCTAGCATTGAAGTGCCACACTGCGAGTCCAAAAATAGGTTTATTCTAAACATAAAATTGTATATAAATTCAACGCGTTTCGGAGGCTAAACACCATCATCTTCATCAAGCACACACGTTCTCTGCTGTGCATTGAAAGCTTTACCATAGGGCTTCCGATGCACAGTAGAGGGAAGGTGTCAGAACCTGTGAGATGTTTTGCCATGGAGGTATTGAATTATGAAATCAGATATTCAGACTCGACCCCCTTCCTCCCCAACACGCACTCTGCTCTGTGTTTACATCATCATGGCTGTCAATACAAGAACAGATAAAACAGGTTCTAGATGGGTACAAAGCAGTCACTTGGCCTCTGAAAACTTCGCAATGTCTAAGCCACTGGGAATCCCAACAGAAACTATTGCATAAATGGTACTACACGCCACAGAAACTGGCAAAAATCTACCCCTCCTCCTCACCACTCTGCTGGCGGAGCTGTGGAATTGTGGGATCATTGACACACATCTGGTGGTATTGCCCATCCCTTGGCCCCTATTGGCCTGAGGTTTTTCAGCTTATCTCCACAATTACTCAGCTCCCCTGTGGCGTTTCCCCACAACTTGCCTTGTTAGGGGTAGGGTTGGAAGAGTGGCCACCAGCTTCCAGGACTGTTGTGTCTCATGTCCTCATAGCGGCCCGTCTCGCATTAGCGAGAGCGTGGAAACAATCAGAACCACCCTCCTTAAACACAGTCATACAGATTCTAAACACGCATGCGCATTTTGGATGTCTGTTCGCCAAGGCTAACTGTAGACGCCATACTTTCACCTCGCGTTGGGCCTGCTGGTTGACAGACACCAGATGCTTGACACATATCATATGATGATTACCAGACCCGCATTACCTCATTGGTAGAGACGCTCTCCACAAGCTCTAATTTTTACTTAATAAATTAAAAAAACACAAAAACATTGTTCATCCTCTCTGTATCACTGAGACTTTTAGACACCTCTCCCTGTGTAAGACTTTTTGTTTTTCTTTTTAGTTTCTGGGCATTCCAACCGATCAGTGTTGTAATACTTCCATGCACTGCTCATACCAACTCTGTACTTCATCTGCTGTACATGATACCTGTTGTATTGTTGTCCGATTTGAGCCCTGCCTTACGCATCTTGATTGTATACACCTATGAATTTGGGCATTGCCCTTCCTGTACTGTTGTATTGTTTTTGTCTTTGTTGCTATGATAAAAACTCAATAAATGCTTTGTTAAAAAACAAAAAAAACAAAAAACAGGCTCTAGATGAATACAACCTGCTCGTATTTTACCTGATAGATCTGCATTAGAAACATGAGCGTTGCCCACACAGTGAGGGAGGAGACGAGGAGGAAGATATACAGGACCCAAGGGGAGCAGGTCACGATCTCCGACAGGAATCCCCAGACGCCGTCCTTCCGTATGCTGGTGGAGCACTGACTGACCCAAACTGCAGGAATGACAATAGACAAACAGGTTGGTCCTATAATGTAGTAATGTTCATAGTACTAAGAAGGAAGAGGGTACAGGGGGCATTTGGTTCTACAAATATTAACATTCAAGTGTATTATAGAACTATAGTGTTTAAAGAGACCCTGACAACAACTAAAACATTTGCAGGTAAAAATACAGAAAACTTGAGTACTTTAAATGCGTTCTTGCCGTGTTATTACTTTCCATAAATAGTTTTTTAATCCCTTGCAATGTGCCACATACCCAGACTTGCAGTCTCCTATTTAAAGAGGACCTGTAATGCGGAAGCCATGTAAAAAGGCAGGGAGAGGGCAAAGGACTAGTCACCAGTAATAACCTGTGCTCTCCCTGCAGTGGGTCTCTCCCCATTACTGACTTACAGTGCCTTGTTCTGCACTGTGTCTCTGTGTAGGGAAGCAGGGCTTTCCTTCCTCAGCTACCCCCCTGATGATTGGTGATCTGATGACTGATGGAGGAAGTATAAAGCGGCAGCAGCAGGAGAAGTTCAGAAAACACAGATTGAATGTAGCAGGGTGATCCTTGCACTGCAGGACCTCGGGTACATCTTCTTCTCCAGCAAGGAGATCAGTGAACAGCCCAATAATAACATCACCAAATCTCACTCCACATCAGGTGGGACTTACAGTCAGGGGCGGCAGTGCCTTAGATGAACTCACACTGCACATATACAGCTATAAGGCACAAGGTACAGGAAGTGCACCGCTATATTTTAGGAGAAAGTCTAGGCCAAAGGTATAATTACTGCTTAGGTACAATTAACATTTCTAAACATAGAAAATCTCCCCTTTGAGTTCAAGGCCAACTCACGTCAGCTGAATAAACTGCATCACAATGCATATGAACATGCATGGCAATGTGTGCTAAACGGTGCACAATACCCTATATGTAAATCTCATTTGCTGTGAGCGAGCCCCAACAACCACTTACATATAGAGGAGGCGTAGATCATCCAGTGGCCCACGAACATCATGGCACAGAGGAAGAGGACAAAGTAATGGTGGTTACCAGCACCTGGGGAGTAAATGTAACAGGATAAATGTGAAAACATAAAAAAACATAAAAAACAGCCCGTGCGCTTTCTTCCCATCGTTGTCTGGAATAGTTTAGGTTACTTCTGCTATATAGAGGGACAAATAGCACCAAAAGGAGGACAAGGGAAGGTCTCACCCACAACAAGTCGCATGCTCTCACCTATACAGTGTCCGGTCCATATACAATGCTGGTCATACTTGGCCACACAGGAATTGCAGGAGTGGCAGTGCATTGACCTCAGTGGTTTCTTTTCCTGGGAGATCACATAAAGGGTTAATTAGATACTTTGATACATTTCCCACAAAAATGTGCCAGGGATCAGACAATACTCTTCATTTTATTTACACTTTCATACTTTTTTTCCCATGTAATCCAATGCACGGAATAAATGAAAATGTGTCTATTCACCTTACATCTGCAGGGTTAAAGGATTCACCTTATGCTCAATTCACAAAGCTAACACACCAGGGAAAGTACCCTTAGTTTTTTTTTTAAAATAGACTCCAAAAAGATATATCAAAGAGGTGCTATGATTATAACGCTTATTCATTCCAGAAAATGGAAAGATCATAATCATTCGATGAGCTATCCTGCTCTGGTAGGGCTGCTCATATGAAGCAAGCATCCCTTTCAGTGGGTAGCCATAAATGGACTCAAAACATAAACCACAAGTGCCAGACCAAGGGTGGAAGAGTCCAAAACTGCTTCAATTGTTCAAATAATGATCATATGACAACCAACGCGTTTTGAGGCATACAGGCTCCCCCTTCATCATGGCTTGTTGACATATATCTGCAAATGTTTGAATGGACTCGGAGGAAGATGCCACATACATCTTAAAGCTGAAATCCAGCTAAAGAAATGTATATAAAATTACATCGGTCCAGGCCAGCACAAATGTAAATATATATAAACTATCCCTGGCAGGGCCCAGGGGCATCCCGAGGCCAGGTGTCACCCGGAGCGGAGACCGGGTGACACCCAGCAGTGACGCCATCAAGCATGCATGGCCGTCTAATTGACGCCTGCCGGCGGCCATCTACTGCTCGCGGTATACTGAGACGACGCAGCTGAAGCGGATCCCGACAATTGTGCCGGGATCCGCCCAGCTGCGTGAGTGACAGCTGGCTCTGCCTATCTAGAGGCAGAGCCAGCTGTACCCGCCCCTCCGCCTTCCGTTCCGCCAATCAGCGCTGGAGGATTGGAGCAGGGAGGGGGGGAATCCAGCCCCTCCCCTGTCACGGCAGAGAGCTGTGACAGGATCGAGAGGTGAGAGAACGCCGGTATGTGTTCGCTCACCTCCTGATCTACTGAGCCGACCTGTGACAGTCTCATTGTCACAGGTCGGCTAGAACTATGAGGTGAGTGGAAATCACTCATCTCATAGTTCTCCTTTAAATTTCTACAGCTGGAGCTCAGCTTTAGGCCTCATTCACACAGCATGCACATCCATACAGTGTGCACACCTGTGCAGAGACCTGTGTCCATGAGGGACAGATGCAGTGTGTAATTACACGGAGCTCCTGTACATCACCCTAGCAGGACAAGGCTGCAAATGGCTACATGTTGACCTGAGCCTGCACATCCGTGTGGGTCCAGTCGCATGCACTTGGACGCCGTAACAGATGTGAACACCTGTGTGAATGAGGCCTTAAGCTCACTGCTTGAGAAGGAATCAGATGAGGCAGGATCAGGATAGTAAATTGGCTGCAACAAACCGAGGTTTGTTGCACATATCTCTGATCTCTGATGAGGGGGAGCCCTTTAGGAGTGTTGGCTGTTATTTCTTAATTTTATGAACAATTAACACATTTTTGGCCACCATTAGTATGACATATGTTTTGTTTTCTTAGTTTTTTTAAGTCTGCAGTGCGTGCATCAAAATCGACTTCCCCTGTGAACAAAAAAGTGAATCGTGAAATCACAACACACAAAAAAAAAGTGCGCAAGGCTCCTGACAGGGGCAAGGATGACTCACTTTTATATGATGACCGATCCTCAGTGCCCTACCGAAATAGGACCAAATGAGTACTAGGTAGGGGGCTCTCCCAAAAAAGAGACCCCCCAGATGGAGGAAGGCAGAGAAGCCTGTGAACGCCACAGAACCTCCCCCCTAACATCAGGACAGGCCCCAAAGATATCGGCACCCTCCGTCAATCTGTGAAGTCAAAAGTGCTAAAAAATAGGTGCCAGTGCACAAACCTGGGAGGCCATCCAGCCAAGGCATAAAAATTGCCCTGGGCTAGCCGGAAGGCCTGCCCAAGAGGCGTGGTGCAGAATAAGCATTAGGTGCTGTGTCCTAGTGCAGGTGAATCACAGTGGGGTCCAACACCCAAGTGATTTTCTGGCACACCCTGGGACGCCACCCCCAGGGGGCACAGCAGCATGGGCCTCTGCTCCTCCCGAACCCTCCAGCCAGACCAGAGCAAGCACCCATCCCGATCAGGAGGCATTAGTGCCGAGGAAGTTCCCTTCGCTGGAAAGGACGAACCCCTCAGCACCACACCTTCACTTCAGAGAGTACTTAAGCAGCCGTCCCACCACTGGACGGTCCATGCTGTTCCTCTCTGAACACCGATAAGAACGGATAGTACACTTGATCTTAGCCAAAAGGCCGAGAAGCCTAGTAGTATTAGTATGGCATATGTGGTTTATGTACACGATAGAAGTTATTTTAAAAATGTGACAGCTATTTACAGCGGAGCACAATGAGATTTAAAAATGCCAGTCACGTGGCTAAGTTAGAGAGCCCTATCCCTGTGTTAAAGCTTTGTGCATTGAGCCTCTTAGGGACGAGCAAAGAACTCTTTGTAGTAAATCCTCAAACACCACAGGCCTTGCATACCCCACTGACACTCTTCTCTTATGCTTCTAGTTTGAAAAATATCCATAAGAGGAAATGGTACCAAATCCAGCCAATCTTTATTTACCTCATACTCATTTCAATGTGCTCAGTGCCATTTGCATAGTCCATGAGCTGAACCGATACACAAATGAGCTCGCTCTCTGCACAGGTTTAGGTGGATCGTGTGAACTGCGGTGGACAAAATCAATTAAACCTTCACAAAAACGCCAGGCTTCACGCATTGGTTTGCTCATCTCTGTTCCCAGAGCATATAAAAGTAATTCACCGGCACACACTTGAAGGGTTTTTAAAGTATTGATATACCAGAGTATTACATCTTCAGTAGAACAGTTTATTGGAAAATAATTATAATTATTCTACTGGAACGTAACAAATCATAGCGATGGAGTTCGAGGAATCTCATTTTATATATTTCATGCAGAGAGAAACATACGGCTAACAAAGTAATGTTCTTGGAGGACAAACGTACCAGACAGGAAGTGCAGAAGAGTCTTGCATCCAGACAGCCAGCTTCAGCCAGGGTGATGATTGTCTGAGAAACACAATTGAATCTTTGTTTTATTTGTATAGTGCCGACATAGGACACAGAGCCTTTACAGAGTAAGTAGAACCATCCACAATGGTCCCTATCACTCTAAGAAGCGTAGACATTAATGTCCCAGCCATACACACAATAGGGCCAACTTCGGTGTGAGCCAGGTTGACTACCAAAATGCTTCGGGACTGAGGGAGATAACTCATGAAAAGAGATAATACTAAGCCCAAGCAGATAATGTCTGGTGTTGGATTAAAATCCAGGACCTGGTGTCTGAATGCCTTTCAGCATATGAGGGGGGGGGGTGCTTCTCACTCACCTCATAGTTCTAGCCGACCTGTGACAATGAGACTGTCACAGGTCGGCTCAGTAGATCAGGAGGTGAGCGAACACATACCGGCGTTCGCTCACCTCTCGATCCTGTCACGGCTCTTTGCTGTGACAGGGGAGGGGCTGGATTCCCCCCACCCCGCTCCGATCCGCCAGTGCTGACTGGCGGATCGGACGGGGGGGGGGCGGGTACAGCTGGCCCTGCCTCCAGATAGGCAGAGCCAGCTGTCACTCACGCAGCTGGGCGGATCCCGGCACAATTGTCGGGATCCACTTCAGCGTCTCAGTATACAGCGAGCAACAGCTCACGGTATACTGAGTCTAGGGTGACGGGAGGACGCTAGTTTGTGTCCTCCCGTTACCCTAAGGAGAACTATGGGGAAAAGCCTTATCCCCATAGTTCTCCTTTAAGGCAAAGTGACAGTGTACTCTGATAGCCCACCCTCCCCAGCCAGGTACACTCACTGATCTACAATACCCTTGCTGGATAAGTTCACCCTGGGTAAGTTCCAGTGTCAGAGTTTACCCGTGAGAATAACCTCAACCCCCACCCGGGACAGTGTTCAGGTCTAGCAATTGGCTATAACGGCCCAAGCCCTGTCACATGGTGGAGGTCACTTGCTACCCTATACCAAGAGGTCACACTCCCAACAATGTGAGAGCTCAGAAGAAGCAGGGTTGCATGGATGGGAAAGTATACCATGCTGGGGGGTGGCCATCAGTAGACACTACCAATTTGCTCTAAATGAGCAAAGTGACAGCACCTCTTTAAAGAGAACCTGTCGCAACTGGTCTCGTTAAAAAAAAAAATTAGCTCAAAGTTGAATATTAAAGTTCAGTCCAGTGAAAATTCACAAGCACCTTTGCAGTGAGGCTTCCCCCAAACTGCAAGGGTTAAATGCTCATTTTTGGGTACTTTTAAATGCAGTTTTATCGATCTTATCCCTTGTCCTTTGCTGCGTGCAGCTATTCCCAACCAAGCCGCTTCTCTTTGGCACTCCATCGGTGGTGAAAACTCTGACATCATCATGTACAATGATGGACAGGCAGTTCGGCATTGTAAATAAGGAAGAAGAAGGCCGGCCCACAATGCTCCAGGCCCTTGGTATCCTCACCTACAGGGCGTCTTTGGAGGGAAGAGGAGAGAACTGGTTGCCAGGGGGTAGGAGCGATTGATAGAGTATGTAAAGCTGCTAAAAATGGTACCCTAGACCTAAAAAAAAAGACCCTCCTCGGCACTGCAAGGGTAGTTTTGAATTTTCCCCGGGCTATAAAGCAGATCTGTTCTTTCAGTTGACATACCTGTCTCTTTTCCTCCTCCGTGGATTTGATGTACCCGGGGTCCGTCCTCCACGTCTTGTAGAAATAATACAAGAGGAGGAACATACTGATCACAAAAGGGATCTGGACAGTCGCTTGTGCCAAATGTGAGAAACAGGGATTGCGTTAAGGTAAAAACATGTCACACGATAAAACAATGCACAGGAGTATGTGGACTCAGCGTATGATTTAGTTCCAGGTGTCAGGAAAGCATTTTTTGGCTATTTAACATCTTAAAAATACCATTTATAAAGAGACCCTGCCACCCACTTGACCCTGTCAACCTTTTATGTAGTTTCTGGGGAGAAGTGTAATTTGCATGAAAGCTCCAAGTCTGCTGGAGCTGCTGTTATCGCATCCAAGATGGTGGCACCCAGCAGCAGTTCTGGGGGCTGTTGGATGTCTACACAAGTCAGCCTTTTACAAGTAAATTTCATGCATTCAATGTAAAATATAATTTTATGAGATTTTTGTTCAATTTATTGATCTGGCGACAGGGCCAGGATAGGACTGTGCTTCTAACAGTCGGACACAAGAATTCAAATGAAGAGCGGTTTGTGGCCACACCTCCCAGTTTAAATTTTTTTATACTATAATTGTATTTGATAAATACAATATTACACAGTCACTTTGAGGCTGCAGAGGCATCTGCAGGCTTATTTTGTCAGTGAAGCCTTCAACCTGCTTGTGATGACTGCTGACATCGTGATCCTAGGATCAAAGTGATTGCCAATTGGCAGTGTGGACTGGAGCCATCAGTGACAGCTTAGACTGAGAACCACCAGCTGTGCAAAGTGGCGGCTGGTGGCTCTCAAAGGGGAGGAAGTTTATCAACGTATCACCAGCACACAGCATTGTGTTTAGGTATGCTAATATACAGATTGCAGATGATAAGTGGTTAAAAGTACCAATGTTCATTAAAGGAGATCTAGGAGGTGAGTGATTTCCACTCATCCTCATAGCTAGAGCCGACCTGTGATAAAGAAGCTGTCACAGGTCGGCTCTATTGATCGGGATGTGAGCAGAAACATGCCGCCGATCCGCTCACTTCCCGATCATCTCCCTGCAGTGAGCGGTGACCGTCAGTCACCACTCCCCGCAGGGATCCCCCCCCTCCGATCCTCCAGCGCTGACTGGAGGAACGGACGGGGAGGGGGCGGGCACAGCCTCTAGATAGGCAGAGCCAGCTGTCACTCACACAGCAGGTGGATCTCGACAGTATTGTCGGGATCCGTCCGATCTGCGGTGCTCTCAGTATATAACAAGCAATTGCCTATATGTTGCGATATACTGAGCTTTGGGTCACGGGAGGAAGTTAGCATATGTCCTCCCGTGACCCTTAAGAGAACTATGGGGAAAAACACTTACCCCATAGTTCTCCTTTAAGAAACCTTCAAACCTATAAAAGGGAAATCTATGACCCATCAGCTGGAAGGCTGCAGAGGGACTTGTAGCTGCTAAGCGGTTGGACTGTAGGGTGACCATGGCTGGCTAATGGTCTGAGGTTCCAGTATGCAGCACTATAAAAGGATATCAGGCAGAAAACAGATAAACCACGTCATGAACATCCAAAAAACAGAGCTGATGAAGAAAATTGGGGGCAGGTGCTTCTGAGTGTTGTGTCCTACAAATCGCCTGGAAGATAAAATGTTCCAAATTATTGTAAGAACGGCATTGTTAGAGAAAAGCACAACTAACACTGAGCTGAAGCTCAAATGTAGATGCAGCTGAATGAGTCAGCGGCGGTGAGATGCAACACAATTCATTCATTTAAAAAAAATATATAAAACCTGAAAATTAAACTAAAACCATTAAAATCTCCCATAAAGAAAAACAAACCTGGTAAAAAACTGAGATCCGATTGTCACCAGAGCAAAAAGCGTCCCTTTTAAAAGCCAGGAGTCGGTTTTCATGTTCAGGATGTATCCAACACCTCCCAGAAGAGACAGACAGATCAGGCCTACAAATAACATCTGACAAGGAAACAGAACATTCATTACAACAGTCTGCAGGGAGAACTTCCATAACAACTAATCACTTTCTCTTTAATTCAATACAGTCCTAGGATAATGTCAGCAAGCAATGACTGGTAGCCACAGGCATTACAGGGGAAGTATTGGGAGAGTAGAATGTACTGTTCCCAATACTTAGAGCTGACATGAGACACTGCAGCTGTCACACGCCGGCTCTATAGATTGAGAGCTGAGCGATCATGTGACCACTGATTGCTCAGCGGACGGTCTTCTCCCTGCAAAGGGCAATGACAGAGTCAGCGCTTCCCCCTCTGCTCTCTCTGTTGCTCCAGCACTCAATGGAGGGAAAGCTAGCAGAGGGGACGGACACAGCTGGCTTTAGAAAGACAGACCCAGCTGTCAATCAGGCAGTGGGGTGGATCCCAACTTCCAGGTTCCTCCCCAGCTGGTACGCAGCTCTTCCCTGTTATAATATATAATAGCGGGCAGTTTCCTGCTATATGCCAACGTTGGGTCGCAGGAGAACATTAGTAGACCCAAAAGAGAACTAAAGCCAAAAAAAAAAAAATGTTTCTTATAAGAACAGCGCTTCCTCTACACACTTCTGATGATGTGGCTTTACCACTCCATGTTCATGAACCGCATACAGATATAGAACACAGGATATGAAAAGTATTTATATCAAGATGCAAGACACAGATCTGCTCACCTCGTACTTCTGCAAAGCCTTTAGGGTTCTGGAGTTTCGGCTGGCCCTGGCACTGGCCTCTCCCGTCAGAATATGGAGAATGAGGCGATTCCTGGTTTGCCGGGCAAGGTCAAGGGGAGTTTCTCCCTGAAGAATATGAAAATAAAAACTAAAATATGAGACGACTTTCAATTGAAAAGGCCAACTCCAACCAAAACCTTTATTTTTACCACCGAATAGATCTAGGGACAATACATTTTAAAATGTTATCGCTGTCCCTGACCTTGCGGGTGAATTTTCCTGACCCGTACCCTTATCTTTAAAATAACAACAAACACACCTTTAGAAATGTTTCGCAATGACCATCTACAATCAGATACTTCTAGATAATTGCCGGCTTTGTATTCCATGCACCTCTTCTCAGGGGAGGAAAATGCCTTTCCCTGAGATCTCATGATATTACAGATGAGATTTCCCAGCAATGCTCTGCTGATGACAAGGCAATCCCAGGGTGCATTGCTTTGGCAAACTGAAGTCATTTGCACTTTGAAAGCAGGAAGTGAATGCTCTGCGAGTGGAAGTATTTCACAATCACAGCATTGTACACCTGACATGCCTATGTTATTATTAATCATGATACATAAGGTGCCCATACACTGCTCGATTCTCGTACGAGAACCGCGGGAAATCGGCGATCGTACGAGAATCGAACAGTGTGAACGAAGAGGTGCAACCGTTTCTAATGTACGGTCGCACGTCTTTTGTCTAAGGAGCATGTTAGAAAACCAGCCGAGAATCGTACGATTTTCGGCTGGTTTGAACAGTGCTCGGGAGACAAATGCCGAACGGGCCGGTGTGCGCACGCGCAGACTGCCCGTTCAGCATGGCGGTCATCGGAAGCCCGCCCCTCAGGGGGGCGGGCTTGCGATGATCGAGAGTGCGATCTGCCTGTCCAAGATGGGCAGATCGTATGTTTTTTTAATCACTTTACAACCATCGCAAGACTAAGGTCTTGCGATGGTTGTACAGTGTATGGCCACCTATAGAGGGATGCATTCGTTTTGAGTGTAAAGGTCCACTTTAATCTCCTGTCCCTGCGACAGCAGGACAGAAAACAGAAGAGCAGTTGTCACCAGTACAGAAATCCAGAGACATAAAATATTAATCTGACAGGAGGTCCATTTTACTGAAAAAAAAAGCATTTTTGTTGCAGACTGTTCAACTACTGCAGAGATTTCTCATCACTTCCTGTAGTGAAGTGAACCTGCCAGTATACCTGGTCATTTTTCACTTTCTTTAGCAGGCCAAGAAAAAGTGAAAAAAAAAAAAAAAAAGCACGTACCACGCCACATGACTCTTGGCAATGGGAGTGTGCTAGCCCCGCACTGCAAGGGTTAATGGCTCATTTTTCTCCAGGGGCGAAAATGAAGAAGAAATTCTTATCCTCAGTCCTGTGGCAGTGACCGCTCACCTCCCTTCCACTCCATCCCAGTAGTGGTATGTCCCTTAGGTGTCTTCACGTCTAATAAACCGGTATTGGACGTCACAGGTCCTTAGATCAGCAGAGCCCGGGGGGAGAAGCTCCTACGGACATGGTCCAGCAGACAGGCGGGACTGACTGAGGAGTGGCGAGTATTTATTCTTTATTTTCACCCCCTAGACAAAACGAGCACCTAACCCCTTGCAGTACAAGGGCAGACCCACTGCAAAGGTTAACTTTCCAAAATCCTGGAGTTCCGCTTTAATATTACGCTACAGATGCTCTACGGCGCTGCTCTTTATTGTCTTCATGGGTAAAAAAGAAAGAAAAACAACCTAACTTCCAAAACCGACACTTTTCCAGCCCCAGAGCAAACATGATCACCTTTTCATTTGTAATATCCATGCTCGCGCCCGCTTCCAGGAGGAGGTCCACTGCATTTACGTTGCCAGATGAGACGGCCCAGTGAAGCGCCGTGTTCCGATGGACTTTGTCTGCAAGGTTGACGGATGGATTCATCTTTAACAGAAAGCTAGTCGGCTCCATCCTAGTGAAAAAACAAAACGAAATTACAGGTATAGTACTCTACCATCGAGTAGCCCTGGCATGCCCCTGCCTCACCAACCCGACCCCCCACCCCCATGAGCGTGGACCTTAATGACCAAAGAGCAGAGGGAGGGTTGTTGAAGCTCCAATTTGACTGTAAGTCAATATTTTGTCACCATCATAACTCACTACACACATTGTCCCCCCACCTTCTATGTGTCCTTAACAGTACCAAAACAAGAGAGCCCTGTAGTTGTTTACATGCATCTTAATAGGGGCTGGTATTTCATACTGCTATGCACACTAAGCAGCTGGAAGACGGCGTGGAAGACCAGGTCATGTGACCTCTGGCCCTAGACTCAAGATTAAATTCCAGGTTGGTGGGCTTTGTGCATTTCTTCCAGATCTATGCAGTAATCTGCTATCAAAGATACAGTGCAGGGACCTGGAGGATCAGGCAAATGCCTAAAGACTTGGAGCTTCCTGTAATAATGACTGCTTACTGCTGCACTCTCTGGTTGTGCAGGGTGACTGGTCTTGTCTCCGCCCCCTCCTGTAATAAAGACCGCTCACTGCTCTCTCTCTCCTTGTGCAGGTTGACTGGTCTGGTCTCTGCCCCCTCCTGTAATAAAGACCGGTGACTGCTGCTCTCTCTCCTTGTACAGGGTGACTGGTCTTGTCTCCGCCCCCTCCTGTAATAAAGACCGGTCACTGCTGCTCTCTCTCTCTCCTTGTGCACAGTGACTTGGTCTGGTCTCTGCCCCCTCCTGTAATAAAGACCGGTCACTTCTGCTCTCTCTCTTTGTACAGGGTGACTGGTCTTGTCTCCCCCCCCTTCCTGTAATAAAGACCGCTCACTCTCTCCTTGTGCAGGTTGACTGGTCTGGTCTCTGCCCCCTCCTGTAATACAGACCTGTCACTGCTTCTCTCTCTCCCCTTGTGCAGAGTGACTGGTCTGGTCTCCGCCCCTCCTGTAATAAAGACCGGTCACTGCTGCTCTCTCTCCCCTTGTGCACAGTGACTGGTCTGGTCTCTGCCCCCTCCTGTAATAAAGACCTGTCACTGCTTCTGTCTCTCCTTGTGCACAGTGACTGGTCTGGTCTCCGCCCCTCCTGTAATAAAGACCGGTGAGTGCTGCTCTCTCTCCTTGTGCAGGGTGACTGGTCTTGTCTCCGCCCCCTCCTGTAATAAAGACCTGTCACTGCTTCTCTCTCTCCTTGTGCAGGGTGACTGGTCTTGTCTCCGCCCCCTCCTGTAATAAAGACCGCTCACTGCTTCTCTCTCTGCTTGTGCAGGGTGACTGGTCTTGTCTCCGCCCCCTCCTGTAATACAGACCGCTCACTGCTGCTCTCTCCTTGTGCAGGGTGACTGGTCTAGTCTTTGCCCCCTCCTGTAGTGTGTGGGGTCTGCTGGGTCCCTCCCACAGCAATGCTCTCTGCTCAGGCTATGTACAGCACAGTGATGAGGTCACCGCTTCTTTTACAGGGCAATATTTGGGTATGGAAAGCCATTGTTAGACACAAAGTAGATTTATATCCTGTGTAGATATTATGGAATACTTCACTTTTACCCTGCACTGTGTGAGCCAATTAAATGTATTTTTCATTACCCAATAACTTTCTGTGCAGACAGCATGAGTGGGGTCATTCCGTTCATATCAGAAGAATCGATGTTCTAGAGACAGAAAGAATCGGATTAACAAATCAGAAGAACCAGCGCCATGTGTGACGGTTATCATTTTATAAATGGCAAATAAACTGCTATCACATATGCAGTGCAGGCACCTGGAGGATCAGGCAAATGCCTAAAGACGCCCTCCAAGTTCCTGCCATCATGACGAAATGCCAAGCAATGTTTTCGCAACTCCCGATGTTGAAGCTTACCTGCCCCTTCCTGCCTCTGCCACATTCATACTGTCTAGTGAGGCAGCCCACCTAGTATTGTGAGGTGGTTGGGATGGAGTCAGCAAGCTCAACACTTCCCGTATAGTATTATTAGAACCTTTGTTATGTTTTTATTTTTGCATGTATCTCCCACTGGGGAGATTTCCCCTCATTCACTTTTGTGTCACTGTGCCAGGAAGAGAGGAAATTCTCTCCAGCGGTGACACAGACAGGTTAGAATTGCTATCAGGTTAGTGTAGGTGTCTCTTTCTTTGTTATGGGGGTTTCCTCTCACTCTCTAGTGTCACTGAAACAGGGAATGGGGGTGGCTGAAGTGCCACTTTACTTATTTAAAAATGGAAAGCATTGTAACGAGTAATAAGATAATTTTTTAATATAATTTTAATGATACCAAAATGAAAGATTTTGTAGCACCAAATATTCTTCTATTCCAGGGGTAGCCAAACCCCAGGCCCTCCACCTGTGGTGGAACTACAAATCCCATGAGGCATTGCAAGATTCTCACAGACATGCATCATGGGATTTGTAGTTTCCCCACAGCTGGAGAGCCAGAATTTGGCTGCCACTGTTCTGTTCATTCATTACCCGAACAGCTAAAACAAACGGCGCCTAGTCCTGGATACATACCAGCCCCTTTGCAATCAGGTAGGCGATGATGGGTAGGTGCTGGAATAGGACGGCCAGGTGAACGGAGTTATAACCTTCGCCATCAATCAGAGACGGATCAGCTCCGTACTTGATCAGTAAAATGACAGCCTGCAGGTGCCCCTGTCTGAGGAGGAAGAGAAGACACAATTACAGGGGAACTACAAAACAATTTCAATCAGTATATCGAAGTTACTAATCTACGGTCTTCCTTAATTTTGTAAAGCGATGCACAAACTGTTGGCAGCAAATAAATCCTGTACAGTAATAATAAAGATAATAGTACTAAAGTAACTTTTGTTGCAACTTTGTGTCGTCTAAATGTTCCTGTAGTTTAATGTTTGGTAAAGTCCTGGACAAAAAAAGAAGAAAATCAAAATTGAAATCAAACTATTCGGTCCAAAACACCCCC